CAGTGAGTGCTGCAGGAAAAAGACAACTAGTTGCACAGGCCAAGGCAGGGCAAGCTTCTTCCTCTGTCTGTGATGACAGCTGCCTATGGACTGTCTGGTCCCATCCACTGGTCTCCAAAGGATCACCTGCATCTGTCACTCAAGCCTAAGGGTGCTGCTTGCTCTTTACTGAGCCCCATCTGGGTTCAGGCTGCTGCTCGGACTCATAATGTCAGCCACATCTCCCCATGTCGTGTGTTTCGGGGCTCAAGACTGCCCTTCTTCCAAACTGTTTCTTCTTTTATAAAACGTGGAGGAAAAGACCTCCTACCTCGAGGGTTGCTGGAGAGGTGCAGTAAACTGCTCAGTGTGAAGTGCTGCAGCTGCTGTTAACTGCTGTTATGTCCCACAGGCCACTAAGTCTAAATCACATGAGTTTCACTCTTCACAAAGTCCCCCGAGAGCACGCAGGGCCTCTTCCAGAGCTTGTCTCCTCTTATTCTGTGTTACCATCTTTGGTGTGGTCTCCCTGACTGACCACAAACTTCCTGGGGGCAGGAGGGGGGTGCACCCTTACCCTCTCCATTTGCCCCAGAACTCAGCACGGGGGATTGGCACATTATGGCAGGGGCTCGAGATTCTTGCATGAGAAGGCAGGTCTACCCCTCATCCTCAGCCAGCTTATCATTTTCAGATGTGAGCCTTTAGGTACGTACCTGTCGTTTAACTTAACTGTGAATGAGTTGGAAGTCTCAGAAGTGTGACCAAGTATACAGGTGGAGGAGGGAATGGTCTGTAAGTTAGGCCTGCTCATGTCTGCTCAGAGAAAGTGACTGTCTAAGCTATTCAGGGCAGGAGGTGGGTGGGGCTCTACTGCAGTCCTGAGGCTTGGAGCTGTGCCTGTGATGAGATCTTCTCCAAAAGAAGGTTTGTTGTTTCTCCATGTCTGTGCCTATTTGGAATCACAGTGCCAGAGGGATGCGATTCCATCGATCTGGACCATTCCGGTTCAGAGATGAACCCAAAGCAGAGGTTTCACAGGCCTGTCTCCAGGGTAAGTTCAAAATCCACAGAAATGGACCTTTTTAGACAGAGCAGGATGACAGGGTCAAATTGGGAATTTCAGGCCAATACTGAATCCGGCTAATCACTTGGACACAAGCATCGCCTATCGTGTGAAGAGGCCTATCTTAAGTATTCATGTTGCTGCCTACATGTGGGCAGTGTAGCTCATATGATGCAAGTGGGCTCGACACCCCAGGAAACACCCTCTCACTCCCTAACACCTCTTCCATTTACCTATTTATCCTTTATCACATGCACTGAAAAGTACTTTTCTTCTGCAAAAACAAAAGACTTAACCACCCCTGAAAGAGTCCCTCTAGTTACTTCACTCACAGTGGCTGACAACTTGACTTGCTTTCAGTTGTATGGGGAAGGCAAGGTCTTGAAGGCAAATCCTGGATGTTGTGACGCTGGCAACAGAGGGAGCTTCCTTCCGTGTTTTCCTCCGTACGACGTCTACTCTTTTTTTTTTTTGAGTTGGAGTCTCACTCTGTCACCCAGACTGGAGTGCAGTGGCTGCTCCCGGCCACCGCAGCCTCGACCTGCTGGACTCCGGTGATCCTTCCGCCTCAGCCTTCTAAGTAGCTGGAACTACAGGCACTACCACGCCCGGTTAATTTTTGATTTTTATTGTAGAGATGAGGTCTCGCCAAGTTGCCCAGGCAGGTCTTGAACCCGCGGGCTCAGGCAATCCACTCACCTCGGCCTCCCAAAGCGCGGGATTATAGGCTGAGCCACCGAGCCCGGCACGTCTACTCTTCTACCACTCAGTTTTCTTTGTTCTTTCTCCACAAAATTTAGGGTTGAACACTCTCAAGTCTAGCCCCAGTCACCTGATATTTAGATCTTTTCCTCCCTGGGTTTGGAATCAGGTGCTAATTGAAGGATCACATCACTAATATCCCTTCCATCCACTTCACAGGTTTCTGAGATGGGAAAGTTCAAGTTGCATTCTTATGGAAGGAAATTGAATTTCACTAATCTTAAGAAAGATTTTAATAACTAAAAAGCAACAAAGGGACTGGCTAAAAAAATAAATTTAAAAAGCAACAAAGGTTTAAAAATTAGTCCAATGTAATATATGCAAAGTAAATGTGTATCTTGGGTTTTAGAGATAATTAGCCATAATAGACAGACAAAAGACAAAATATTTTTGCTTGTTTTCTAATCTTGTATGTATGTTTCCTTAATAAGCTTTGTTTTTATCCACTGCTAACATCCATTCATCAACCCCTTCCATGTAGATCCATGAGTAGGTCCCATAGTCAAGAGATCTGAGCACAAGTCCTGCCTCGGGAACATGCTAGCTAGCTTGTTCTGCAGAAAATCCCTTATTGGAAACCCCAATTTCCCATTTGTAACATAGTATCTACCTGGCAGGGGCAATGTGAAGAATAAATGAGTCCAAGGGCTGGAAGATGTGGACACAGAGGAAAGGAAAGGGGTTTTGGAGAGAGCTCCTCAGGCTCCAGGGGAGGCCCTGCCTCTTAAAAACCCGGATCCCAGAACAGGTGAGCCACACACCTCATTTCTAGTGGGCGGCCTCCCCTTACTCCTGAAACTCAAGTTCTAACTCCATCTATGGGGAACTCTGGTGTCTACCTTATTTGGGTGGTATTTTTAGGTGCCTCTGAATAAGTCACTCAACTGGACCTCTCTAAAACATACCCCATTTGGGAATGGACACATTTAGTGTGATACTCAACACCTCTGCTTACAGGTTGAAATGTTCAGGATACAAATTTTCATGAAGGATCATTTTATAGACAGTGAATATGTGATGACATCATACATTCAAAGGCTGGAAATCAGGAAGGTATTTTGATAATTTATTTTATATAATTATATGAAATCCATAATATACTATTAAAAATCGTACGAAATGAGATTATATGCTTACAGATATTAATCTTCAAAGAAACTCAAATTAAATGAAGAGTGATCATGTTGCTTAATTGAAAATTCATAAATGTAATTGAACACTGAACAGAAGTTTACTATGACTGAGAAATGAAAGAAAATGTGAGGGAGTATTTGGCTGTGCAGTCACTATTTACTCCAATATCCCCAGGATTGGCCTTAATAGTGATGACAACTGACTGAGGGCCACCGAGTTTGCAATGTTATACAATATTTATGGGTCTCAGGGAGGAGCACGTGCCAAGGTGCTGGGCAGATGCCGTGTGGTACCTGAGTAGTCAAGGCTGAGAAGTTTGCACTTCTGAGAATCCTCACACTTGGCTCTATCCTGTCTTGTGTCACCCACCAGTGTCTCCAGAAAGGCACATCAGGACGCAGGTTGGAAGTGTCTGCCCTCAAGGTTAAGAAACCAAAATATAAGCTTCCTTACTGCCCCTCCCCCATTTTGTATACAATCCCCATTTAAACACAGACCTCACAACTTTTTTTTTAAGGCTGAAAGTCAATAAGCAAATTTGTTGTGATGAACCCACATGCATAGAAAAGAAGATCATACTTGATAAGGATACAGGGAAGAGAAATAATATACACCCTAAGTTAAAAAACAACATTTAAAAAATAGGGGAAGAGTACATTAATACCCTTCAAAATATAACAAAAAACAACACTGGATGTGACTATCTTAAATTCTATTCTCTTCCCTCTCTTATTAGGCAGTACTTGAATGCTTTGAAAGAAGATACCAATGAAGCCAAGCTCCACTGGTACCCAACAGACAACAATTTCCCCTTGAGGAATGAAAAAAAAAATTATGATTAAAAAAATAGCTCTTTAACAAACCACAGTGAAAACGTAGATTTGTTTTCTAGATTCCTTTTTTTTCCCCCTGGCTGAGAGCAGGGCTTTCAGCAGCGAGACAGGAGTAATTGTGAAAGGAAGAAAAAGAGGATGGTGATATAAATCAGCAAAGGTTAATGACCGGGATGTGAAGAGAGGGACTTGTTTACAGAAATAGCGTGCAATTTAAAATTTACAAGAGATTTAATGCCACTGCTTGGCAATCGCTAAAATCAACAGCCCAGAAAACAGTGACATTAAGAAAAATATTACAGTTATAATCATCCCCAAATAAGTCAATTAGTGTTAGGGCACGAGCTTGCGATTACTTGACCCATTTGGCTTGCACTTAAGTGAAAAAAAATTTCCCCCTATTATACCAAGATCACTGGATTGTGACCTATTTTGCATCACACGTATTACACACCAGCCTCCCTTACGTGTGCTTGGGCGGATGGTGGTGGTTTTCCCTTGCCTGGCATCGAAATAATTCTGACCCCTGACATTTGTAATCATAAAAAAAAAGGCAATTTATAATTGTGTTGTTCAAATGAAGGTGGGGGAAAAATTCAATCTGCTATTATACAAAAGCAATGACGGCTGTCTTCGGTGAAAAAAGCAACGCAAGTCAATTTGTGAACTTTGGCACCAGACGACCTTTAGAAACACAACAATATACTGAATTTACAAGCAATAGCAGCCCATGCAAATGGCCCGGGCCTGCTTGCCTCTGGATTAGAGCTGCAGAGAGCATTATGGAGAATGCTTCCACAAAACAAATTAAGACTGTTACTTAAATGTCACGGCACACTATTGTATTTGGCTACAGATCATTACACCTGATACTAACACTTTTAAAAACTGTAATAACTTGGGAAATATTACACTGAATGCCCACATGTATAAAGGAGAAGAAAAAAGAGGAGAAAATAGGTTTCTAAAGTAATTTAAACATCACTACTCTACGACTGAAGGGAAAGGTCAAAATTTAAGTAAGCTGAAAGGAACATGAATGGTAAAATAAAACACACAAACAAAAAGATGAAAAGACCACAGGAATGACTCTGCAAACACAATAAGGGAGCATGCGGCTTTAGGCGAATCGCATTTCCATGTGTGTGTTGGGAACGAACGAGCGGGCAGGGTGAGGCGGGAAGAGGCAGGTGGAAGCATGGGGCAGGCGGAGGTGGAGGCGTTACCTTCAGTGTTGGTGCTGCTGCTGCTGTATATATTTCGCAGGCTACCAACACGGTTTAGTTTCCATGCTTTGCGTTTGGCTGCATCCCGAGAGCAGAAGGGGGAGAGGGGGAAAAAGAGAGGAAACAAAAAGGAAAAGAAAACAAATGAAAAGGGAAGAAAAGAAATGTCAAAGTAGCACGAGAAGTCCCCTCTGAGCCGTCAGCTTGCGCGAAGCAGGTGGGCTTCCCTGGCCAGGGCCCTGCATTCCCCCATTGATAACATGGAGGAACTCAGGAAGGACAGAGGTGTGTCAGCGTCATTAGGTGGGCACAAAGTCAAAGAAATGCCCAGGCAAAGAAATCTGTGCATCCCCTTAACCCTGCATGGTTTGATATGTGGCTACTCAAAACAGCGCCACAACTAGCCTCTGCCTTGGGGGATGCTGGCATCCACTGAAGGAGCTATGGTTCCAGTACCCATAAGCCCTTCGATCTGGAAAATACCAGGATGTCAAATCAAAAGACATCCTGGTTATTAGCAGTTAATGTCTATAGGTTGCAGAAGGTAGGTCTTTAAAACCAAGAGCTGTTAAAAATGGAAGTTGTTTTCCCCAGACAAATTTTGGTCTGGGCAATAACCTATAGCAGCAAAACCCAGTACCATTTCACTGTCTTGGGTGGAGTCCATTCTCTTTCATACCTGGGGAGTTGCAGGCTCTGAATGGATTCCTATGAACCCAAAGAGCAAATGCCTTCCGAAGCTCTCAGCAAAAAAGACAAACACAGAGTTACCCTCAGAGGTCAGGAACCTGGTTCAGAAGAGAAATGCAGAACCAGTTTAACACAGGTGTAGCAGACCCACCACTCAGGCTGTGAGCAGTGAATGGGTGGGTCACTGAGGGGACCCATTCTTCCCAGACATGTTCCCATAGGCACAATTCTCTACCCCACCCTCCCTCTACCCTCCCAACCAGTAACTCATAAATGCTGACACCTGTGGCCAGGAAGAGGTTAAACTGAAGTGTTCTCTCAGTCCTTAAGAAGACACTTTACGAAAACCCAAGAGCTAAAAACCTTGTGTAAGTCTTCAGGTAGATGTAGGTGAAGACTCAGGCCCAGATTAAAGGGCTGAATGGGTAAGCTGGCCAAGTGGGCAGACACATCAGCATGTTTAGTGACAGTCATAGTCATTCATGTTCCTGAAGAAGACACCTCACAGGACCAGCTGTCTCTCCCAACCTCCACATCAAGGAAGAAAAACTAGTCCAAGCTTCCACTGGGCTGTTTGGATAACTATGTGCTTAATGCATGTGAGCAGCGCTCACCTGGAGCAGGCAAGTCTTTACATTTCCACAGGCAGGTCTGAAGCCCACAGAGCAGGAAGCCAGGCTGACCCTCTGGTTCCCGAGGCACACGCTGACCTGTGGTCAGCTCTCTAACCAACCCAATATATCCCTGACTTATGATGGGTTAACCCTTCTTGCCTGCTATGGTGTTAGAGCTATAATACTCAATCCCCAACAGTATAGTTATAGCCCTGGTTATAGGTTCTGTGTGTGTAAAGTTCTGGTTGGCCAAAAAATGAACCAGGGTGATGACCAGGTAGGTCCCTGTGATGAGTTCTGCTACGGCATGCATCTCAAGCATTTCTAGGCACACTGGACTTCTTTGTGGTGACAATAAAAAGTTCATGCAAGACACTTGACCCTTTAAGGAGGAAAACACAATTCTGAAATATAGCACTTACAATGCAAATTTTCTTTTCTGTATTTATAATATAATTATATTAATGAGAGTAAAAACTGGCTGTGATTAGTTGCCTCTTGATTTAAGATGATAAAAAGTTGTTCTAACTAAAATCGTATGTTTACTTTGCAGTATAAAATTCAGCAATTTACTAAGAAACGTAATCTCTAAACTAGCAGACATCTATGGTTGGTGAGAGGCCCTTCTCCTACAGTATGTGGGTCAATATTTAATTTTTCATGGGTGGCAAAGTTTCCCATATCTCTACATTTTCAACATATCTTAACTGCCTGTAAGGTCTGACCTAAGTGTCTGTTCCAGGTAACACCAAACCTGGGAAAGGCATCTTCACATCTTCAGGTTACAAATATCACACATTAAGAACAAAGGGGTCACAATTTTCAAATGTTAACTTCAGAAATCCTTGCTAGATATTTACCAGGTTCTTCAGGTATAATGATGTATTTGTAGGATTAAGCATGCACGTGATTCATCTTTTAACAGCAGATGTTCTGGTGTCTTAGATCACATTACACAAGTTCTGGAAAGAAGCAGCCACAAAGAGGTTGCACTCCTCAGGGTAAAACTTACCTCTTTCTAAAACATTTACATATAAATAGGCAGAATCTGGGCTGGGCTCCCCTCTGGAAAGGAGAGATGCTCGGGTGCAGAAAACCTCTTTCTTCACCTGCCTTCTGACTTGCATTTTTCACACTCCGCTCTCCTATTACCACAGGGATGTATAAGCAGGAAGTGAACTTGCAGCCTGGCTTTCTATTAACCTATTGATGAAATAATCAATTTTAATGTGTAAAATGTCATGATGCCTTTTTCTTCCTCTTAAAAAAAAAGACTTTTCTGACTGAGACCAAGGTCCTGATATGTGCATCTATCTCCTGGGGCAATGATTGCTCTAAGTCTCCTTGTTTAGAAGCTTCTCAACGAGAAAATGCAATCATATGATCATCAATAACATCTCAGGTTATGTCTGACATTGCTGCCTGAATTCACTGCTAGCAGCTGCGGAGACACTGCGTCAAAAGGAAGCAGGAGTGCTCCAACCTGATGCTTTGTGCCATACGACCTGTGCTCACCACTGGCAGCGTCTCCTCCCTTGTCTCAGGCCTTTGGAATAAAAGGTGATTCTTGAAGACCTTGTGGGCACTAGCTCAAAAGACTAAATTTCCTGGGTAATCTATGTTAATTAAAATTTGTAGCTGTCTTTGTTTTACTTTCAGGAATATAGTTTCTTCCTTTTTTAACACAGGCTAATTCTGTCATTCATGTTATTTCTCCCAAACTACTATTATTGATATTATTATTGTCACACACCGTCTCCCAGGATGGAGTGCAGTGACACAATCACAGCTCACTGCAGCCTCGACCTCCAGGGCTCAGGCAAACCTTTTGCCTCAGCATCCTGAGTAGCTGGGACTACAGGTGCATGCCAGTGTGGCTGGCTAATTTTTTTTTATTTCGGTAGAGACAAGGTCTATGTTATGGAGTCTGGTCTCAAAACCTTGGGCTCCAGTGATCCACCTCAGCATTCCAAAGTGCTGGGATTACAGGTGTGAGCCATCACACCCAGTCACAAAACTGTTATTTTAATGTCAGAATTTCACTTATTATTGAACAAAAAGGCAGCAGGGTGTGAACATTCCGTTAGTGTTTTCCATTCTGCTCTTCTGTTTACTGTAGAAGCAAGTCTCTTTTGTAAATGGGTTTTCACAAGGCCTCATGTAGCTATGTAAGTGGCATGATGTCTCAGTACCATCTCAAATGTTTAAAAACACACGTACAGATCTCAATGGACATAAAATTCCACGATATATAATTTCAGATCTGCTACAAACTAACAGTCAGCTTGAGTGCAGACAGTGAGACTGATCTCTTTTCACTTTAGCCTGCAATTTAAATGAAACTTTCTGAGCTGTAATCTGGGTTGGCATAAAGTCAAGCTTGGGGAAAGGAAACCATTAGCAGGACGACACTGTCCTCATATTGGCACCAAAATGTCAGCTGTGAATGCGGTTAAACACAATAGGGTTACATATTGCGTATCACTGCAAGAGGCAGCCCAAGGGAACCCCAGCCTGTGGTTGAGAATTTAAAATAGAGAGATGGAAAACTCATCATTATAGTGAATGGAATGTATTTTCTAAGGATTCAAAGGTTAAAAAGTTTTAAAAACTCATATTAAGACAACGCAGAGACTCACCTCCAAACTCTAAGAAGACTGCAAGTGAACAGCTATGTATGAACCAATGGTATTGCTAATTTTCCTTAAAATATGAAGTCTCTACTGCTGATGAATATTAAAGGTATTAGTAAGCTGAATTTATAGGGTGATCTTTGAATTACAAAGAGAGATCACTGTAGCACCTCAAGTGTGCTGATGTCCATGCTGGCTATTTACATATTTTCTGCAGTGTTGGGTCATCATGCTGGCAGATGTGGTGGTGTCACCCCACTCATGTGTGCCTGACCTGCTGCATACTCGAGTCACACATTTAAAGAATAAAGGTCGATATGCATTTTAATTCGTGGAACATTTCTGTAAAGGTGTCTGATAGTTATAAACAACAAATTTTGTGTCTGGATGACCAGATGAGGTACAGCATAATATACTCAACTCCTGGTAATTACTAACAGACAGTCACAATCTTTTCAAACAGAAACAGGGAGAAAGGGAAAGTGTGTAAATTACAGCTAAGTTCGTAGCTGGAATCATTTAGTGTTAACAATTCCCAATAATTATATATTTTCTTATTTGGGGAAGTGACAGTCTTTTATGTGGGCTTCCATAAGGGATTTAAATTTTTATTTCAAAAAAAAATTTCTGTTACTTTGTTTCTCTAAACAACAACAACAAAATTTTCCCCAAAGCATGTGCCTGCCTGAAAACTAATCACAGACAGCAGATTTCCAACATGAGATGCTTCTGACTAGCTCTTTACAAGCAGGACAAAAATATTACTTAGTCTGTTGGCATGCTAAAGCGAGCAGGGTTTTATCCTAAACTCTTCCTCTATCATTGTACCAGGAAACCACAGACTTATTAATGTCACCTCTGGTCTCCTTCTGACAGCACTCTTTGTTGATTAGATAAATATTCCTCAGATAGCTGATTAAAAAATGATGCAGTACTGAGGTTGTGTGCCCAAGGTGTGTCAACCACGTTGGACGTTCAAGTGTGCATGAATTACATCCTGGCATGAACTGAGCAGGGCTGGCTAAATGAGGCACGCCAAAGCCCTCAGAATCAATTATGAGAACTAATAGGATCTTTTTACCTACACACGGGAAGGGGCTGGGTTGAAGCGGTGTGCCACTCATTCCTAACAATGTCTTGT